GGCATTAATCCTCCTGTGTCCATAGGTCATAGGTTTGTTTACTAATTTATCTCTAATTGTTTATTACCAGTATTCTCTAGTCTTTCAATCAGTTTCCTTTAGTCAATAGACAATTATCATGCCAAAGACAAGTGAACTGTGTGCCGCAACTCGCAAAAAAATTGTTTTATTGAGGAGTCAGCAAAAAACATATCGCCAAATTGCCGATTTCTTAGGGTTATTTTTCTACAGTGAGATACGTCATAAAAAGTTATGAAGAACGTGGTTCGACTGAAAATCGAAAATCGGCGTCCAAAAAAGTTAACTCCCAGGCTGAAGAGGAAAATCAGAAAAGAAGCTCTTAAAAATCCTCTGATAAGTTCTCGGGAGCTGGCTACAATGGTCCAATCAACGTCTGAAGTTCAGATTACTAGCAGAACAATTAGATATGCCCTGAATTCGGAAGGGCTCCATGGTAGAGTTCCAAGAAAGAAGCTATACATAAGTGAAACGGATCGCAAAAAGCGCCTTGCTTTTGGGAAAATGTCATATTTTCTGACGAAAACAAATTTAATTTGTTTGGTTCAGATGGTCGAAGGACGATATGGCGACATCGGAATGAAGCCCTAAAGAAGCAAAATGTTTTAACAACTGTAAAGCATGGTGGAGGACTTGTTATGGTTTGGGGGTGTGTTTCCTACCATGGCGTGGGAAATCTTGTGAGCATTGAAGGCATTTTAAATGCGGAAGGCTATGTGAACATTTTGCGACGTAATTTGCGTGTTAGTGCCGAAAAAATGGGAATCCAGGATCAGTACTATTTCCAGCAGGACAAGGATCCAAAACATACTTTGAGGAGAACAAAGGAGTGGTTGATATTTAATGTTCCAAGATAGCTCCACACTCCTCCTCAGTCACCAGATATAAATATCATTGAAAATTTATGGCACACCCTTGACCAAAATGTAAGAAAACACCATATCATCACTAGTGGACATCACCTTAAACAACTTCTTGTTCAAGAATGGGAACAAATAAACGTAGATTTAATTAAAAACCTAGTGCATCCAATGCCCAGACGTTTACAATTATTGACGCAAATGGCCTATTTATAAAATATTAAAACTATATAAATTTAAAATAAACTTGTAAATGTGGAAGGGTGCAAATACTTTTTTCCAAGCACTTTTATTGTTTTAATTATTTTGTTTGATTATGAAGTGTTTTTATTTTTTTGTAAAAAGGTGTTTTCAGTTTTTAATAAATTTACTTTTCATTTTTGCAAAGGAAAGCGAAGTTTTTTGTTTCCTTGAACTACTTTATTCATAAAAACATGTTGTGCAAATACTTTTCCATCACTGTACCTTACAAGATTAAATGACAAATAGTCAATGATTTCAACTTCTCAAATATTTACTTGAAAAAGGATCAATATGCTGATCATAAAAAAAAAAAAAAAAGAAGTCATATCCTATTATCAAGCTTATTAGGAGAAACAGAGTTGAGTAGACTTTATGAAACCAACTAAGTATTCATAAATCTAATCCTAATGATAAAATCCTCCGCGTTCTCTTAACTATATTATAAATACAATTATCAACCAGTTCTTAATATCATCTACAGTGAGCAAAAAAAGTATTCGTACACCCCGTTTTTTGGCCAAATTGGTTCACTATAATTATTATAATTGGAAATAACAGCAGATATCAATTACAAACTTGACTTTGAGTAAATTTTACGTATTGCCAAAATTTAAAATCTCATACTACTTTTATAACATTAATATTTCAATAATTTGTACAAAAAATAAGTATTCGTACACCAGAGCAAGTATTAATGATGCAATAATTTCTGTTATCACAACAACGTTTTAACGTTCTACTTTTAATCATTCACTCCTGAGAGTTAAAAGATAAAACTGCACAATAAATTGCTTGTTCACTTCAGTACTAAGGAATATTTTTTCGACAATGGGTCGTAGGCCCAAAGAATTGAGTTTTCATCTCACAGATGACGTTGTAAAACATTTTCAACAGGATTTAAGTTTGCGGAATATTGTAAAAACGTTCGGTCATTAGCTCATACGACAGTCTATTAAATTATAAGCAAAATTAAAAACGAATCAGTGGACAATAAATCTCGCCGAAGGAGAAAGCGCTTGTTGACAATGTGAGAATCTCATGAAATTTTACGTACAGTGGTAGAAAATCACAAATTAAGTGCTCAAGAGGTTTTGGCTCACATCTCGTCAGCTTATGGGAAATCTTCAAACCAAGAGGAGTTGGCTATTTGAAACTGGCTATAGAGATAGAGCTGTAAGAAAACACCTTTTATAAATGGGAAAAAAAAAATTGGAGTTTGTCCAAGAACATGTAACTAAATCCTACACGTTTTGGGAAAACGTGTTGTTTTCGGATGAAAGCAATTATATTATATTTGTATCTGACGAAGAAAATATGTTCGGAGGAAAAAAGGAAAGGCATTTGAAACCCAAAATCTACAACCCACTGTGAAGCAGGAAGAGGGTAGTGTCATGGTTTGGGGATGACAGACGAGTTGGTGAACTAGCCTTTCTTGACGGGATTATGAATGCTGACAAAAATGTTGACGTGTTTCGATACAATTTATTAAATAACACTGCGCGAATGTTAGGAAGGGAGGATACATATATGTTTCAGTAGGACGAAGATCCTAAGTACACAGCCACTAAAACTTAAAAATCGCTGCTATATATGTTCGCAAAACGCTCAAAACACCTCCTCAATCATCAGATCTTAATGCAATTGAAAATTTATGGGGCTACTGGAATTGAAAATCCAAGAATATTCTTATTCTTCTCGTAATGAATTGATAAACAATCTTAAAATCGCTGATCTTGAAATCGGACCAGAGTTGTCCCAAAAGCTCATGGAATCAATGCTAAGAAGACTCAATACTGTGATACAAGCGAATGGATACCCTACAAAATACTAAAACTAATTGAGACTGATATTTATTATATTTTCTTTGAGTTAGTTAAATGCACTAATATTTTTTTCATATTTGAAAATTTTGATATTTTTCATACAATATGAGTTATATAGTATTATTTTTTTTGTAAAACTAATGAAAAATGAAATTTCTAATTGTCACCTCTAGTCGTTTTATGATAAAAATATATCTAAAAAGATTTTTAACTAAATAATGTTGTGTATAAATACTTTTTTTGCCCACTGTATATTGTAGATTGTGCTGAAAATAAATAAAGCTCTTTTCATTATGCACTCCGAATCCGATAGTTTGTAACAACTTGATCACTGATATCCCTCCATAACACATTGTTCAAGGATAATTTATAATTGGCTTTAAATTAAGAAAAATAAGTAATCTTATACTGGTAAAAAATTAATGTAGATTTGGCATAAAGGGATGGATCTTCAAGTGAAGATAGCCAGTTCCTGAACTATGGCCAATGCCCATGAAGTTGGATATCCTTCTCCAGTCTGTTGTGCTCTTGAAAGAAATTGATTTCAATAATGTAACATAAATTGATTATAGGTTAATATAAAAATTTTAAGTGAATAAAAAGCAGGCAGGAATATATGTCTGCTTGTGTGTACTCATGTCAATGACACATATTTCATTTGGATATTTTTGGCAGAAATATGGAGAAGAAAGAAATGAATAAATTGATTGTAGATTAATATATAAATTTTAACTGAATAAAAAGCAGCCAAGAATACATGTGTATATATATTAAAATGTATATTATATTTTAAGTGTTTGTCTATAATCAGATTGATTGTTATTACAATCCAAATTTCATCATTACAATATAAATTATATATACATATATATATATATCATGCCAACAAAATAAATTCCATTTAGATGTTTCCTGCAGAAATGGGGAGAAGAAAGAAATGATTAAAGAACTCATAAACCATAGAATGAATAACTAGGTTTTTAATGACTATTAAGATAAAAACAATAAGTAAAAACTTAATAATATACTTTTCTAAACAACTTAAAATATCTATAAAAGCAATAATGCATAGTTTAATAGTCAAACATATTTTAAATTTGCCATTACATAAACTATCAGTCTTTAAATTATTTCTATGCATCTAATGCATTAGATCTTTATTGAGGAGATCCATTCTCCACTGTAAAGAGAGCATAAGACATATACTTTTTATGTATCTATTTGATTTAATAATTAAATGTTGCATTGCAGAAAAATAGGCCACAATTTAAAAATTACTTTTCAACAATAGTTGTAGGGAAGCATTGGTGTGGGAGGATAAAAAGAGAATCATAATAATGAACAAAAGTGTGTAAAATACAAAAAAACATACTTTGAGGAATGTCCAAGGATTACAAACACAATAATAATGTAAAAGGAAAAACACAAATAAGACAACACAAGACACAAAACTGAATTTTTTTTTCTTTTCCTTCCTTCACACTAATTTAAAACAAAAAAAAAAAGATGCATTCTTTAGAAATGGAAACTTTAAATTATATTTTTTTTATTGCAAACAAAAATATATAAGGATCATCTTCTTCATCGTAAATTAAAAGCAAAGATTTGTTTTATATAAACTCCTATATGAAGAGATTATAGTGAGTCATAGTACATTGATACTTCTCATTAAAAAACAATTACCAAGTTATACGCTCCATTAATAAATAAGAGTAACTATAGAATTTATCTTTATGATTCAATAGTAGTCTTTATTTGCTCAAAATAGTAGAATTAACAATGGAATTAATTGCATGCAACTAATGAAACAAGAAAAAAAATATATAAAAAAAATTAGAAGCCTTTATTTCTGTTCATGAAAATCTTTATAAAAAAAGAAGAAAAAAAAGAGAGAGAACAAAACCAATAATAATAACAAAAAATTTCATTATTTTTTTTTACATGTAGTTTAGCAATCAATAACAAACAGATCTGAGATTAATTTATGTTAAGATTTAAATAAAATTATAAAACAATAAATTTAATTACCTTACAATTAAATATAAATGAAATAAATTTAATCTCCAAATAATCGTTTTCCAAGTTCCATCATCATGTGCTTACGGCAAACAGTCAAGACATCATTTTCTTTTAATACTGGTGCAACATCATTATTTGTATCAACTAAATGACATAAAAAGTCTTCATAGGCTGATTTTGTATTGGATGGCAATGAACCAACTTTTACTTTCTTAAGGGTTTCAATGATTCCTTGAGCCCATCCTGTTTCCATAGCAAATTCCGAAATCCATGGAATCAAAGTTAAAACAACACTAATTGTTTGCATTCCAAGAAACCAAAGTTCCATGATCTCAATCCAATACTTCTTATATGTCATAGATACTACAAGTGTAGATGAATCATTTGATTCATCAACATTATAAGCATCCCATAAAAATCTTATTGCTGATTGAATATACCGGCAAATAGAAAAATCATTTTTCTTCACTTTTTTTGATTGTTGTTTTAATAATAACAGACCTAATACAGCCATATTTCCATGTAAAACTAAATTCTCAGGAATATTCTTTAATTCTGTAAGATTATTCAGAATAAACTTTAGCAAGGCAGCAAATACTGGACTGTTTTCTGCCAGTTTAGGTTCCAAAACAATAATGTTCATAAAAATATTACACATACTGACCATTGCTGCTTTTGAATCATTCATTTCATCAATCAGAGATGCCGGTAACTCTGGGAGTGGCTCCTTTTTGGCTTTCAGCCTCTCAGACTTTGGAATAGGTGGCCTTTTATAATTTACAATGGACCAATGAAAGGTAAAACATTCTAATAAAATTTCATCCTCTTTACTGTCAAGCATTATTTTACGTCCTTTATCCTCAATAGTAAAATGGCATAAAGCAGGAAGCATAACTCTCAATACATCAACTTGATGAGAATGACCAGATGAAACAAGTGCAGTTGATTTAACTTTTTCACTTACATAGTGAGAACGATATGAATAAAAACTGTCATTAGCAACAGATAAAATAAATGGTAAAAGCTCATATACAGCATTTCTCATAGCTGTTGTTTCTTGGGCCAACCAGGCAGCCAAAACACGTACTAAAGCACAAATAAATAATTTTCCCTCTTCTGACTGTTGTTTGTTCATAGAAATTCTACTAACATACTTCTTAATAGTTCCTATGACAGCAGAAAATGCACCCTTCAGAGCTGTATAAAGTTGCTGTTTTTCTTTCTGTTCTAAGTCCAAAGAGTCATTGGCAATATAAGATACTGATAATTCAAGTATTATAAAACAGGATGTAATCAAATCAACATTTTTTAGGATTACTTCAAAGTTTCTGTCTTCTAATTGCATTCTCACTTCAACTGAACCTAAATGTACAAGTAACAAGAAAAATTGTTTAGGTTTTTCATTATCAGTTAGAGTCCATTCAACACCAAGTAAATCGATCATAGCTGCTGCCAGCTTTAATGCAGGATCACGCTGTGCTTTACCAATTTTACTAGTAAGTATGTCATTAAGTCCTTTATAAACGCTGGTTGACCATGATTCTTCTTGGTATGTAGACATAATTGTTTTACGGTCAGAAGATATAACAAGTGCCTCAAGAACACCACACAATTCAAATTTCCTTTCACTATGATCTGTTTCAAAATCTAGAGCTACTTTATTCATAAGAGAATGGAAATACCTTGGATTTTCCTTATCCCAAGCTAAAGGTCCAAAATGCTGTACTAGAGCCACAAGAATTTGAAGAGCTTCATCGGTTTGAAAACTTTGTAAAGAATAAATATCAGCCATTTTAACAACAGCTCCCTGATCAAGAAGAGCTTTTTTACCTTCATCGGATTCTGCTATACATCTCAGGCATTCATATGCCTCACCAATAATCATTAAATTGTCTTCATAATCATCTGTGTCAGCCTGTTGTACAATTTCTAAAAAACAAGGAATACTAGATAATATATCTGGGTGATGGGCTAATTCTACGTCATTACAAAATGATGAAAAAATAGCTAACGCTACTGATTTATAAACTTGAGGTGGGCAATCCGGTGGAACAGATTGGCACAGAATTAATCTCTTCAAAAAATCAATTCCAATAGATTCAAATAAAAGCTTCTTGGCCTCACTCGAAGTCTCTTCACTCTTAGTTAACTTAGTAACCATAAACAAACCAGCAAATTTTTCAGTATCTGTTTTAGCACTATTTAAAATTGCAACACATTTTAAAACTGATTCTGGTATAGCCATTTTGATAAATTATTAAAACTCTTGAATAAAACTCAATTTAACTACATGGATAAAGCCAACACACAAACTGGTGTAGATGAACTCCTGTGTAAAAAACTTGAACTGTTGCCAGAGTTATTTTTGTACATCTCAATTAATTTTAGAAGCAGGAAAAAGTCTAAATTTGGACCTGTGTAGAGTTACATTTAAACGAATTAAAGTAGTCCGGTGAACTAATAAATAAAAAGATCAAATCCTTAACCACTACATGTTAACAAGGCATTTCAAGTTAATTTACTATTACGATTTCTAAGATTCAAAGAAAGGACAGTTGCATTCCGTAAAAATAAAAAAAAATTCTGAGAGTGAAACATGAATTTATAGCTTTATTTTTACTTAAATTGCTTTCCTCTTGCAGTTAAAAGAAATATAAACAAACAAGCTCATTATTCATAATAATTTTAAAGAAAAAATAATCGATATAAGGATGGGCAATAGTCGATAGTACTACCGATGTATCGATAATAAATCTATCGATATCCTTATCGATAGTCTTAGCAACTAACGATAGTTCATACCTCTCCTAAGACACAAATAATATTAAAATTTTGGGGCAGAAGTGGTCGAGAGAGTTCAACGCCTGCAAAAATTTCTTGCTACGAGTTTAAATCCCGTTCGCTGGATTTAATAACAAAAATAAAAAATATAAATATAAATAATTAATTGGAGGAAGGAGATGGTCCGGGATGTCGATCATAAATAGACTAAAATAGTGGAAAACTATTTGATTTCAAGTCAACCTATTGTAGGCACGTACTGAACAGGTATGTTCAGCAAGGAGTTTCACTTAAAACTAGGAAAACTTGGGTAGAGACCCAATGAGAAAATTTTCTTACCTGGTTGGGGTGTGGTGAGGGGGTAAGTAGTAAAAGCAAAACAAAACCTGAAATATTACATTATCTAAAATTTGAAGATATTGATGGATACAAGAAAAAATACGATATCTATGGACTAATAAATTATTAATATATAATTAAGCATACATATAAAATTGAATCAAGAAATTATAGATAGAATTACAATGTAAATAAAAACAAATATGAAAGAAGTAAAACATACACAGAAGAAAATGTAAATATAAAAATGAGAGATCATACATTGCAGAACTAATTTAGAAGTATAGGGAAGAAATAAATATGAATAACTATAATTATAATTAGTTGTACATATTTTAAGAAAATTACATTTAGATATTAGATAATATTGAGACATAATTGTTAAAAGAACAATGATTACAAAGTAAAAATGGATGATCGTACATTGATATACAAAGCGGAAATACTTAAAAATAATGAACTACTAAATAAAATTAATCAATAAAAATTGAAAATGGATAAAAAATAGTAAGATGTAATAAATAAGTTATTTTTCACTCGTAAGATTTAAAATGTGCCTACTTGTTAAAGAAATGCATTTTTTTCCTACTTTATGATTAATAGGATTCTGTTCCATGTGGATGTGGATGGATTCGAAAATGAGTCTTTTTTCATGGTTGGGGACCGTGGCAAGAATAGAGGTTTTTTTCAAAATAAAATGAATGATTGAGGGTTAAGGCATGTTCTGATAGTTCGGAGGCGGAAGGGTTCCGGAAAGTTATGGATGTTTTATGTTGGGAAACACAAGTTTTAGATGGCTTTTGGTTTCGCCAATATAGGCACTATTACAATTAGGAGTAGAGTAAGGCATCCGGTAAACTGCATTAGATCGGTGTTATAAAAGTATTCTTTCATTCAAGTTGGTGAAAAGGAAAGAAAGTTTGTTATGGGACTTAAAGCCGAGACGTAAGTTGGTTATAGTCGATTTTGAGAATTTTCGTATATTATCTGAAAGAATAAGAATATAGGAGAGAGATTTGTATATGAAAGGAGTGGTAGGTGATTGTGGGGAGTTGAGAGAATAGGAGGTTGTACTGTTTTTGGTTGTATAGCGTGTTTAAAACTATTCTTGTCAGTATATAAAACTGAAACTAAATTGAACATGAAGAAGCCATCAAGGTAAAATATAGTTCAATATCAAATTACTTCCTTAGAATAACAACTCTAGTTGTGACTATGGAAAAAATGTTACATTTACCTCATCTTTAAAGATTTCATTGCTTGCGTGAATTGCTGGCCAAAGGTTACCAGGAAATACTTGAAGACAAACAGCTATTGAAAAATTTCCACTCCCAATAACAGAAAAAGAAATTAAACAGTTTCTTGGATAGCCTGGTTAGTATAGAAAATGTATTAATAATTATGCTCGTATTGCTCAATCCTTAACTTCTAGTTTACGGAAATCAAAAGGTAACATTAATCCTGCTACTTATATTGACTCTTTTAATAATTTAAAGTCTTTATTACTAAATGCTCCTATTTTAATTTATCCAGACTTTACAAAACCAACGATTCTCACAACTGACGCCAGTAATATAGCAGTCGGCGCAGTGCTTTCTCAACTCTAGAAGGAAAAGAACATCCTATAGCTTTTGCCTCAGAAACATTATCTAGCACAGAATCTAGATATTCAACAATTGAAAAAGAATTATTTTCCATAATTTACGCCTGTAAACATTTTAAACCTAATCTTCACGGACAACATTTTACAATTCAAACAGATCATAAACCCCTTCAATGGATATTCTCCATGAAAAATAATAACACTCGTATTATGAAATGGATTTTTCTTTTAAATCAATTTAGTTTCGAAATAAAACATAGAAGGTAGAACAAATCAAGTCGCGGATGCACTTAGCAGAGTTAAAATTGAAAACAATACTAAAATATATGATCTTAATGGTATAGAAGATATGGACATTGACATTGACAACCTAGTTAATAATGATAAACCAATGCTCTCCACAAATACTTCGAAATATCGCGAATTAATAAACGAACTAGAAAACGCATTACCAGAAGCCCCTGAGAACGAAATTAATAATGACGCCGAAAGTCTTGCTACACAACATTCTCAAGAAAGTAGTCATAATCAAATTTTCATTGTAACAGACAGACCAATTATAACGTTGAGAAATACCAAATTTTTGTGACTCGTGACAACGAAGAATTTCAATTAGAAAGACCTTTTAATAAATTCCGATATAAAATTGAAACTGATTATTGATGGAAAAATGATCTAGAAGAAAAATTAAAAGAAATAATTAAACCTAATAGTACTTATGGAATTTGCTGTGAACCAAATGTAGAAACAATTAGAGATGACTATGAAGGAATATTTAATAAAATTTCAAATTTTGTAGAAACTGAATGCCCAACTGTTCGAATTAAAAGATATAAAACAAAATTAATAGACATCACTTATAAAGCAGAACAAACTGAACTTATTGAAAATTATCACTCCGGAAAATCTTATTACAGCGGAATCATGGCAACCTATGAAAAATTAAAACGACATTATTATTTTCCTCGAATGAAAGATGAAATTGCTACCTATATAAATAAATGTAGTATATGTGCAAAAACTAAGTATGAAAGGAAACCTATTAAAACAAATTTTCAAATCACTCCCACTACAGAAAGACCCTTTGAATATTTAATGATTGACACACTACATTACCAAAGAAAATTTATTATTACAATAATTGACACGTTTTCTAAAATACTATATACTGACGTTATTAGAACAAACATTCATCAAGTACTAACAAAATATTTTGCTCTTTATCCTCTCGCCGTACAAATAACAATGGACCAAGGTAGAGAATATAAAAATGGTCTTATTCAAAATTTATTAGCAAGTTTAGGTATTAATGGTCATTACACTGTTTCAAATAACTCAAATTCATTAGGAATATTAAATCGCGCACATTCAACTTTAATAGAGCTTATAAGGATCATAAAAGAAGAAAACCCTTCAAATAGTTTAGAAACTAATGTAAATACTGCTGTAAGGACATTCAATGAGACATTAAATAAAAATCTTAAATTAACTCCCAACGAAATAACTTTTGGTAAAATTATTGAACCAGACCGAGACGAACAAATAATTAAAGAGAACTTAGTACAAAAATATCACGACAAATTGAACGTTATTCATAAATTAGCGAATTGTAAAATATCGGAGGAAAAATAAAAAAGAACCGAATGCCTTAATCAAAATCGTGAAGACCCACCGAGAAATTCCAAACGAAGCGTATATTAAAAGACGGGTTAGGACAAAGGATGAAAACGTATTTAAGCCTGTAAAAACCTTTATAGACAAAAATAAGATTGTGCATGCCCATATTAATAATGTAAGAAGGCCAAGAAAGACGCGTGAGAAGACTGTTTTGCTTACAGATGATGACAACCAAGCAACTGGTGATATGGACAATGGTGATAGCGACTCGGGCTCTAGCTTATCAAATAACTGACGTGCCACACTCAGGTGAACTAATGACTTTTAAGCTTGCTGACTCTTACATCTTAGAAAATTACGAAACAATAATTCACTTCTATGATTTAATTGAAAACAGACAGACTATTAAAAAAAAGATTAATACATTTTCCTGCAAATGAATCAATTTACAATATGACACTTAAAGAAATCTCTTATTTAGAAAATAAAATAGAATCGCTAACGACTCACGATAGAAGTAAGCGAGGTATTATTAATGGTCTAGGCACTGCTATTAAATGGCTAACTGGCAATATGGATGCTTCCGATAAGGAAAGATATGATTCAATTATAGAATATCTTAAACAAAACGAAAACCATATTCAGGTTAACTTAATTAAAGAACTTACTATCAACAAAAATATGATTTCTAAATTCAATGAAGACATACAAATTATAATAATAATAATCAAAAATTAAGTGAAGATATTACACAAACTGACAAAAACAAATATAAATACATCTATCATTAACTATATAACTATTAGAATCCTTGACATTAAAAACTCTTTAGAAATGTGCAGACTAGGCATACCTTACTAACTTACTATCAACAAAACTATGATTTCTAAATTCAATGAAGACAAACAAATTATAAATAATAATAATCAAAAATTAAATGAAGTCATTACACAAACTGACAAAAACAAATATAAAATACATTTAGAAGAACTTTATTCTATCATTAACTATATAACTATTAAAATCCTTGACATTGAAAACTCTTTAGAAATGTGTAGACTAGGCATACAACATGCTTACATCATTAAACATACTGACCTAAAACAAAAATATATAAGTAATGATTTAGAAACTTTATGGCAAACTAGTAAAATCCACTGTGCCATAAGAAATGGTACAATTCATTATATTTTGTCAATTCCAAAAGAAAGTAGAAAATTGTCAACCTGATTATCTGTACCATCTATTCATCAGAATAATCTTGTAACAACAGTAGTACCAAATAATTTAATTTTGTTTTCCAACAATCAAGTTTATACAGGAAACTGCTCTTATATAACTTCATATTTTTCTGTTTTACATTTTATTCTAAGATTCCCTTTACATTACTTATGTCACCTTTTGACTATGTTTACTTCATCATTCCACAATTTGTACCTGTTATTATTATTTGTCTCTTGTTCTTACTATTGTCATTATTCTAACAACTGCATTTTACTGTAATTTTTATGTTTCTCATACCTTGCTATCTGGTTCTTTTCTTAGTCCTGATGATGGCCTGAACTTCAGGTCGAAACGTCGGCAAATGACCAAATAAATATTATCATTTATTTTGCCTTCTTATTTGACTGATCACCCCAACTATTCTTCTTCCCATTATTCACGACAGTCAATTATTTAACCACTATTATGAAACTGTTCTTACATCAAAACTAATTATTATTGCACAGATGTTTTATTAAATACAAACCTATGTATTAACAAAGTTATCAAAAATGATATTACCACTTGTTTAAGGCTATTACTATTAATGACCAAAAATCATTTATTAGATATATTGAAGATATTGATGTATATATATAGTATAACCAGAATGTTCTTTACCCACTGCCCAATAGTACCTTGCCCATTCCTGTACCCAAAAGTTGTGTATCAAAGTTAGGATATAATGATTCTTTTGTAAATATTACTAGAAATAAGGATATTAGTATATTACCTTTGTCTTACTCATATGAAATAATTAGATTTAGTCATTCCAATATATCTTTTCATAACTTAGAATATATAGAAACTTCTATAGTAGAATTAGATAGCCTTTCATGGGATCATAACATGTCTATATCTGAAATATTGTGTTTAATTTCCTCAATTATTGTATTTTAATTATTTTCGTATCGTATATACCTCAAGTATTCACAAGTTTAAAAGCTCTTTACAGTAAACAAATCAGTTACCCCGATGGTAGAAGTATCACAGCAACCAACTTTCAACCCCTGGTCAAATTCTCAACCCATTCTTCGCTAAGCTCGAATCTTCGGATGGGATGAGTTAGACACCATTTACTCTAATATTGTACTGCAGCATCAGTAACTTCTCCCCACCACTATATATAGGCCTTAGTAGTAAGCAGTAGCATATAGTAGCTCATGTCTCAGTAGTGTTGTAGCTCTCATTATGTAACATTGTACTTGTTTTTCATGCCATTTTTTTTTAAGTTGTTCGTGGATCCGAGTTTATAATTGTCTAATTACATTTAATACAACTTAAAGAATCACTTGAGCACAATTTCATGCAGATAGTTAGTTTCTTTCTTTCTCCCGAAGTAATTATCCTAATATATGCATACAAAAAAAAATCTTTCATACTGAAGCCCCTCCCTAAAATTAAATCCTTGATTAGTTAGTGTGTGTCTAGTAAGTGCTTTAACATTCGAAAACGTCGAGCAGTTTCATGTTGTTTCAGTCTCGTATGCGGGTTCCAAGTAAGACATTTGTCCAAGTGGAGTCCTAGGTAGCCGATTTGTTCAACGGGAATAAGTGGACTGTTATTGAAGGATATTTTATGTCAAGAAGTCATAGATTTACGACTCAGTGTAAAGACGATTTGATGGAATTTATTTTTATTCTCCAATTTTGACATCATTCTTCAAGGTTTGTGATATGTGATTGGAGGGTTTGGGATGCAATTAAAGGGTCATTATTAACAGATAGCAAAGATGTATCATCGGCGTACGTGGTTATGACAGTGTCGGAATGAATGGGTTGGGATGCCAGCTGTATTAACTGTTTAGAGGATAGAATCGAGGATACTACTTTGAGGAACGCTTGAAGACTGAGCAACGAGGGATTAACAAACATTATTATGATTGACTTTGTGGTATCTATTAGCAAGGTAGGAACGGATAATGAGGAAGTATGTAGGAGGTAGGAATTTACGGTGTTTGTACTGTAGTCCCGGCTGTCAGACTCTATCAAACGCATGTTCAACGTCGTGAAAGACTCTCGCGCAGTACATTCTACCCTTCAATGCAGAGACTACTTATACCACACGATGACATTGCTGGATAATGGAATGCGATGTACGGAATCCAAATTGGTTATCAGGGATAATGTGATTAGAATCTAGGATGGGCTATATAGGCTTTACCTTAATTATTAAAATTAAATATTATTGTCTAGGTAACGCTGGCATATTTTTGCGGCATCCACTTTGAGAACCCCTAATATAGGAGTATTATGGGAATTTTAGGTAACTATACCATAGACGTGAAAGTAAGAAGATGTTAACTGATGATAACAACTAAAGCCTCGTTTATAGTTAAATATCAAACCTTCATTTAAATGATGTATATGTGTTAAAGAATTGAAAAAACCACTGTTTGTACAAATGCGCGAGCTACCACACAGCCTTAAATTGTAAAAACTTTTGTATTCTTGTAAAATTGGTTATGTTGCACATTGGTTATTTCAAAAACACATTATTTTTTGAAGACATATTTCCTATTTTATTATCTATATCATCGAAAGCATTGCCGATTACGATACCATATATATATATATATATATATATATATATATATATATATATTTCTGTTCAATCAGTATGTATTTGGAAACCTGTTTCTTTATCAGCTAATTCTTAATTCTTATTAACTCTTCCTTAGGCGCTAATGATACTTGTGCAAGGATATTTTTACATATTAAGAAATATATTACTATTGTAAATGTTTTAATAATTTAACACCTATCTAGATTATGTATTTTAGTTGACAAGTTTTCTATGTTAATCAATGTCTCCACAATTGTTTCCACTTGTTCTTCTTTAGTATTTTGAGTTACTCATAGGTGATTAGCATGCAACAGTTTGAACAGTTTGCCTCTGTTAGTATGTTTTGAGATAGGGTCGATTTAAGCATTGGTGTATATATATTGTTTTCGTGAAGTGGGTGTTATTTTGCCAGATAATCGTATAATAGGCGTGCTTAAAAAAATTAGAAATCATGTTGTCACGTAGTATTTCTATGATAAACCATCATTTTCCTACCAGAAAAAGTCTTTCATTAATAAAATTCAGAAACAGCAGTTCTAGTCCTGAAATTTGCATTCCTTTTACTGACAGGTGATTATTATATATTTCAATTTTCCCTAACCTTTTCATTATGTAGTTATTATCTTATGCCTCTGTTCCTATTACTTATTTGCCTTATGATATTCTGAGTAGTTTCATGCTAGAGGCTTTATAAATTTCTTCTTGACAACTTTTAATAGATTAATCCCTTCTGTTTTAATATTAACTTTTTGAATTTTATTATGGGAGTTAACTTTTATCATTGACTCATCACGTTATTTAAATTTTTAGCTAGTTTCATTTTACTTTTTTTTTTTTTAATTGTGTTTGTTTCTTTTCTTTTTAGACCATCCTTGGCCATCTCTTGTACTGAATATGCCCAGTTTTCTGATGGTTGTGCAGTCGCAAGTTGTGGTGACACTTCTGTTATGGTTACTGCTGTTAGCAAATCAAAACCCTCTTCATCAAATTTTATGCCATTAACAGTGGATTATCGACAAAAAGCAGCAGCAGCAGGCAGAATACCTATGAATTTTCACAAAAGGGAATACGGTGTTAGTGAACATGAAATTTTGACTAGTAGACTAATTGATAGATCGTTGAGGCCACTATTTCAGAATTATTATTGTGAAACACAGTTAATATGTAATTTGCTTGCTATTGATGGTATTCACGATCCTGAAGTTCTATGTATAAATGCTGCATCAGCAGCTCTTGCTTTATCAGATATTCCTTGGAATGGTCCTGTTGGTGCAGTTAGAGTTGGTTTAATCAATGACAAAGTTATAATTAATCCGACTAGACGTGAATTGAAGGAAAGTGCTCTTAATATGGTTGTTACAGCTGCTTCTCAAAGTTTAGTTGTAATGCTCGAAGGCTCTGGTAATAATGTTTTACAACAGCATTTCTTGAAAGCTATTAAGACTGGTGTAAAAGAATGTCAAAAAATTGTTCAGTCCATTTCCGAGTTGCAAAAGTTGAAAGGAAAAGCAAAAAGAAGTGTTGAACCAGTGAATGAGATTGATGAGGCTATTCTTTCTGGAATAAAAAGCTTGATTGAGATGAAAATTAAAGAAGTATTTCAAGATTTTACTCATGATAAGTTGTCTAGGGATGATGCTGTTAAAGATATTAGATTAAATGTACTAGAAAAGCTAAAGCAGGATCAGCCGGAAACTAATATGGAAATGGCAAATGAAGCGTTCAATATTATTACCAAACAGATATTCAGGAATTTGATTTTAGAAAACAACATAAGGTATTACTTTTGTGTAGATATTTTTTTTTAATATGGTTGATAGGTGAGCCAAGATCATATTGATAAGATTTTACATGGAACCCTCCCCTCTCCCCCCCCCCCCAACTATTGTGAGCATCAGCTATTGCCTTCCCTATCGATTCAATCTTTCTAACTTGACTGTCTATACCTCCCATTTTTATAAGAATTATAAAAATTTTAACAAACATTTTAACTGTTCTGTTTAATAGGTTTATATGAATGTATGGAATTCTTGGATTTTATTATTTACATTAGTCTTAATGATTTTTGCATTATTAAGTTTGATCTTCACTGCTTTAACTTGTCATTTGTTTTCTTATTTTAATCGCTATTATTTCAGTAGAATTCCTATTTTTTAAATTATTGGTATTGGTCCTCGCGCGGGCTCATTACCGCGTATGGGGAGCGTCCCACGGGTGGCGGATGTGGGGATGGTCGGTGGAAATTCCTTGGAAGTTCCTCCCGGCTAAGTCCGATGGACTCGCTGACCAACAATGAGAGGGGCCCTCCAGACTTGCTGGAGGGAGGGGACCTCTAGACTTGCTGGAGGTAGGGGCCCACCAGACTTGCTGGAGGGTGTGACGTAGGATTGAACGCCCTACTCACATATCTTTAGTTCACCAAACACCACAAAAAGTCATGGATCTCCCTAAGGTAAAACGCTCATTATCCGGAGGTAAACTAGTCCCCCGTTCGGGTCTCCGGGTGGGGACTGCTTTAGGGGATTCATGCCGCAAGTTGAAATATAGGGATTTAAATATTGGTACGTGGAACGTAAGGAGTTTAAACACAGCAGGGGGGCTAAAATCGGTCGCGAATGAGGTAAATGGGTACAATTTAGATGTCGTGGCTCTGCAAGAGGTTCGCTGGCCAGGGGAGGGCTCGATGAGGGAAGGAAAGTACACTATTTGGTACGGAGGAAGCGGGAATCATTGTTTGGGTACCGGGTTTCTAATTAGGAGTAGATTACTATCCGCTTTGAGGGACGTACAATTCTTTAGTGATAGAATTTCGGTAGCTACATTTCAGGGACGTTGGTTTAAAATCGCATTAATAAACATACATTGTCCGACCGAAGACAGTGACGATGAAGTCAAAAGTGAATTTTACGATAAACTCGAATGGGTTTATGATAAACTACCGCGAAACTACATGAAAATAATTGTAGGTGACGCGAACGCAAAGGTAGGAAGGGAAGAAGTTTATATTCCGACGATTGGTAAAGAAAGTTTGCACGAATATAGTAATGATAATGGGATCCGTCTGATAAACTTTGCCATCTCGAAAAACCTGATAATTAAAAGTACGACGTTTAAACACAAGGATATTCATAAATATACTTGGACATCACCGGATTCGCAAACACGAAATCAAATCGATCATGTCTTGATACAACATAGCTGGCAAAGCAGTATAATTAATGTACGGTCTTATCGCGGAGCAGAATGTGGGGCGGATCATGAATTAGTAATCGCGAAACTTCGACAAAAACTTAATATAAAAAAGAGAAAAGAACACCGTTTCGATTTTGAGAATTTTAATTTGGAAAAATTAAAAAATCCATCAATTAGAAACCAATTCGAGCTAGATGGTAAGAATAGGTTTGAAGCTTTAGAGCTTCCTGACGAGGACCACGAGGATATTGACAAGTTATGGATAGAGATCAGGGATAATATTAAAGCGGTCGGTAACTCGTGTCTAGGAAAAAAGGAAAATAAGAATAACAAACCGTGGTTTGATGAAGATTGCTTAAACATGTGTGAAAAAAGAAAAGCCGCTAAATTAAAAGCTCTAAATAATCCTAGCGAAGACAATTTGGAATACTTCCGAATCTCAAAGAACGAAACGACCAAATTGCTCAAAAATAAAAAAAGGGAGTATCTTAAAAATAAAATAATAGAAATAGAAACTAATAGAATCGAAAATAACGTAAGAGACATGTACAAAGGTATAAACAGATCACGTAAATGTGTAGGCCCCGTAACGTCTGGAATTAGGGATGATAATAACAATATTCTGACCGATCCGGTTGACATATTGAATAAGTTTAAGGACCACTTTGACAATATTTTAAATACGGGAAATTATGACCTGTGTCCTCCTTCTGAGTACCAGAGTGCTGAACCGTTAATAGAAGGACCAAGTAAAGAGGAAGTTGAAGTAGCTATCGGAAAATTAAAATCATATAAAGCAGCGGGAATCGATAATATTCCTACTGAACTAATTAAGGCATGCGGGGAAGCTGGAGTTTCTAAAATACATCGGTTGGTTAAAAAGATCTGGGTGAACGAGAAATTACCTGAAGAATGGAAAGAATCTATTCTTATTCCGATTCACAAAAAGGGTCCGAGGACGGATTGTAATAACTATCGAGGAATTTCACTCCTTCCGGTATGTTATAAAATATTCACTTTAATCTTAACCAGTCGAATCACGGAATACGCCGAGGAAATTATCGGAGACTACCAATGCGGATTTAGACGGAATCGTTCGACAATTGATCAAATATTTTCTTTACGGCAAATATTAGAGAAAAAATTGGAGTATAACGGTATTGTTCACCAGCTGTATATAGATTTTAAAAAGGCTTACGATTCTATTGACCGCCAGAAACTGTATAATATTCTAATCGAGCAGGGGATTCCAAAAAAACTAGTAAATCTAGTCAGGATGTGCTTGACGGAGACACTCAATAAAGTTAGAATCGGTAATAATTTGTCCGAAAAATTTGAGGTTCGTTCGGGCTTAAAACAGGGGGATTCTCTTTCGCCTGTCCTGTTCAATTTGGCATTAGAACATGCCATTAGGGAGGTAATGCGAACCGAGAAAGGGTTGGATCTGGGCGGGACAACATCCGTGCTGGGCTATGCTGATGATCTGGTACTGTTAAGCGAAGACGTTGAAACTATAAAACTAAATACGACAACGTTAATGAAAGCCGGTAAAGAACTAGGACTCGAAATAAACGTGGATAAAACAAAATATATGGTTAGCTGCAAAAATGGCGATACTACTGGTGATATCGATATAGATGGTAATATGTTTGAACAGGTAGATAAATTTAGGTATCTAGGTTCTACGATAACTAGAAAAAACGAAATTGAAGAAGAGATTAAGGTTAGACTGAAGGCGGGGAATGCTTGTTATTTTTCTGTGACAAAACTACTTAGTTCGCGCCTCTTGTCCCGAAACTTAAAAATTAGAATCTATAAAACAATTATCTTGCCTACAGTTCTCTATGGATGCGAAACTTGGCCGCTTACATTAAGGGATGAGCAGCGTCTTAAGGTTTTTGAAAATAAAGTATTGCGTAGAATATTCGGACCGAAGAAGGATGAGTTAACCGGAGAGTTCAGACGGTTACACAACGCCGAATTGCGTGAGCTGTATCCGGGTAATATAATTGATGTAATTTCGTCGCGGCGAATCAAATGGGCTTGTAAAGTTGTTGAGCTTAGTAACGAGAGAATTCCTAAAAGGTTAATATTTGCTGTGCCGAATGGTAAGCGTCCGAGGGGTAGACCGAAGCGAAGGTGGGAAGATTGCATTAAAGCCAATCTGAAGGGACTGGGTTTGGACGGCGAACGGTGGAGGGAGGTGTGTAATAAGCGATTGGTGGTGTCGGCATCGAACCTTCGGGTTCGCTAAGCCTTATTATTATTATTATCTCTTTATTTTTCACATATACAATGGTGTTTAAATTATGTAATAGTTGGGGACCTATTAGGTCAGCCAAAAATTACATTTGTATATTTTCTTAATTATTTTATATTTGTGAACTTCCTGACAATATTTGCTGTTCCCAATAACACCGCTTGTTGCATTCTTTCGATCGTCTGAGATGGTAGTTCTAGTAGTCGCAGAGAAGATACAGTTTCTTCCGGTATCAGTCCGTTGCACGAGATTACAATTGGCAGAATTCGGGTTTCCTTCAAATGATATAATTGTTTGATCTCTTCAGCCAATTCTACGTACTTTCTCTTTTTTTCCGCTACTACCTTGTGTAGGTTATCATCAGAAGGAACTCCAATCTCTATGATAAACGCAGATTGCTTACTTTTATCTATTATAAGAATGTCTGGTCTATTGTGGGGGATGGTGTGATCCGTCAGGATCGGTTGATCCCAGAACACCTTGATATTGCGCATGGAGTTAATTGGTTCTGGATGGTATTTATAATACGGGCAATACTTATCGACGAGTTCCATTTTCTGAGCCATAGCTTGATGCACTACCTTAGCTGCATTGTTGTGTCTCTGCAAGTATTCCTTACCCGCAAGTATTGTGCATCCCGATGTTACATGTTGAATTGATTCAACTGCCTTTTTGCATAAGCGACATAAGTCATCGATGCCCTCTCCACATATATGTTTTCTGTATGCTTTTGTGGCTATTACCTGTTCTTGAATAGCAAACAAGAATCCTTCTGTTTCCGGAAAGATACTTCCACTCTTCAGCCATGTCAATGACGCCTCAGCGTCCACTCCTACATCCATTAATGAGTGATAAAATCGTCCGTGTAAAGGTTTATTTTTCCATATTTCTGATCGAGTGCCATCATCTGCTTCACTAATCGGGATTCCAGGACTTCGTAAATTCAAAGCTGTATAATTTATATCTAATGATGCGATAGTTGAAAGGATATTGGAAGTATGGTTTATAATGTAGTTGCGAAGATTATTTTCTTCCTTTCGGCATAAATTCAAGAGGCTGACTAGACCACGCCCTCCCGACTTCCTAGGAAGATACAATCTCACTACAGATGACTTTGGATGCCTCTTCCTTGAAAGCACCATCTGTACTCTCAGAAAACGATCCAACCTTTCTAAATCGGTTTTAGTCCACTTCAGTACCCCAAATGAGTAGGCTAAAGCAGGTATCGCCCAGGTATTCAATGCCCGTATCAAATTTCTTCCACTTAAATGTGATTTAAGTACTAATTTAACACGGTATTTAAATTCTTCCTCAAAGTTTTTCTTTGAATTAGCATTGAATTTCAGAAGTTGGTGTACTCCAAGGTACTTGTAAGAATCAGATTCTCTCAATTGATTCATTATTACATTTTCCGATATCTCAATATTACTCCCCTTAATAACTCTTCCTCTTTTTACGTGTACTATTGCACATTTATCTATTCCTAGATCCATTTTTATATCATTACTGAACGTTCTTACTGTCTTCAGAAGAGCTTCCATTTCGTCTTCATTCCTAGCGTAAAGCTTGAGGTCATCCATATAGAATGAATGAGAAAGCTTCATTTCAGAGTTAAGTAGGTACCCTTTATCTGTATCAGCCAATAATTTGCTAAGTGGATTAAGCGCCAAACAAAACCATAGAGGACTAAGGGAGTCCCCTTGAAAAATACCTCTCTTTATAGATATGTATTCATTGGAACTCATTCCATTCAAAGTTGGTGTGCTGATTGAGACCCTCCAGATTTTCATCAGTCGTTCTAATAGATCTATTATTGCCTGGTTTACTTTATAGATTTTCAACACTTCCAGAAGCCAATCATGGGGAACCGAATCGAAGGCTTTACGGTAGTCGATCCAAGACAATGTAATATTACGAGATTTTTTTGTAACTTGAGCAGCAATAAAAGAATCGATAATCAGAAGTTCTTTGCAACCTTTTGAACCTGCCTTAATACCTAACTGTTCCGCTGCCATAATACCCTTTTCCTCAATGTAATCTGTCAACTTATTCCTGATTACAGCCGTTAGTAATTTGTACACACCATTAAGACAAGTTATGGGTCTCAAATCCTGTTTTTGCTTCCTTTCTTTATTAAGTGAGTCGTACCGGTACAGAACTTCGCTGGTAAGTCAATCTCTTCAGACAATAGTTTCTGATACCACACAGCTAGGTGGCTATGAACACTGCTAAAGGACTTTAGCCAGTAATTTTGTATTTTATCTGGACCAGAAGCTTTCCAGTTTTTCATTTGCTTGAGTGCCTTAGTCACATCTTCCACAGTGATACTGGTTGCTTCCATAGGTTGGAGATCTGATAAGCTATGGCGAATATTTTCCAACCAATTTGCTTCATTGTTAAAACTTTTTTTACTTTCCCAAATACCTTTCCAATACTCTGATATTTCAATAGGATCTGGATAGACATCGTTATTATTTTCCTTTTTAGGTTTTAAAGATTTATAAAAATATTGTTCTCTTTTATTAAATATTGAATTTTGTCTCCTTCGATCATGAGCTTCTGTATACCTCCTAATTCTATTTGCTAACACTGCTAATTTCTGCTTGAGCGTTTCCATATAAACACCAACCTTTTTATTCAACTCACTTCTTACTACTCCTCCAATATTTAATACAATAATTTCATCAATTTTTTTCTTTAGTTTTAAAGAAGCATTTTCTGGGTTCCGAAGGTAATTAGTAATAATTCCGATTTTACACCGTATATTTTCGATCTTTTTTTTAATTCTTCTCTTCCAGGGAGGATCTTTGCAATCATTAGTTTTATTACAATTCACCTTATCTTTTATCAAACCTAGCTCCATCGAGACAGTTCGGGCCCCTACGTATATCCAATGACATATCTCTTCTAGAGTTATACCCATCGACATATGCTCAGCAAGTATCTCGTTGACGGTGTTAACAGCGGATAAAGTTCTTTTGGAATATGGTACCTTTGGTATAGAGGGTCTACTGTCCAAAGGTATTCCTTCATACATTATGTGTTCTCTTAATAGTATATTACGCATCTCTATAATGTGTGACGCTTTTTGGGTATTCACGGAAGTCGTTTCCAATTGCATAATCGCCGAGGATTCTGCCTCTTCTACTTGTTGTATTTCTATCTGTGAGTTTCGGGCAAGTATATTACCTGCTTCTGTTCTGATTGCATTAATTTCCGATTCGGATAAAAACTGGCGTTCTAATATCTGCTTGACCTGGTCAGCGAGTCTTTGAGATGATACAGCTATTTGCGGATATTTTTCATTCCAGTGACGATTGATTCTTTTGCGATATCCTGTTTTTTCTTTCTCTAAGTTTGTAGCCAATAAGTAAGCTCGGATAGCAGCAATATTCATATTGCGGTCCCACTTCATCCTTCGTTGCCTACCTATTTGGCCAATGATTCCTCTTCCTCGCGCGGGAGACTCAACGGTATCCAAGCACGGTTCAGAGTTTAATGATGAAAGTCCTATGGCAGCCGGTCTTACGGGAACATACGACACCGAGGCACCGCTCGCACCACCTGCAGATGTCGAAGGCTGAATATCCAATCCCTCCGAAGCAGCCCTTACTTCGGTTTCGTCCGAGGCTATTTGTTTCCTAGTTCGCACCATTTTGATGGGTAGATGCATTTTATACCTGCTGCCAGGTCATCCTAGGGGAGGTAGCCCTAGGGTGTGTACTGTCTGTGTCCTTAGTGTCAGTGTAAATGATTTAGTGGACGGTTGTGTGTGTATCTGTAGGTGGTGTACTGTACTCAAGAAACCGGGGGATCGTAAAACCCCTGCAACTGCACCTATCAGTTGCCCCTTGCGGCATTATTATTATTATTATTATTATTATTATTATTATTGGTATTAGTATTTACAAGGTGTCTACAAATGGAAAACCGTAAAAAGTCTGAGAATTTCATTCACTATCTTAAGAAAGTTTCTGAAAATTAAATTAAAATTAAAAAGACAGGTAACAATTTATTTCCTCACTTCATAAGGTAGGCAATCATTGTATTCATGCGGCAGGATATATGATGCGCAGCATTCGCATAGGCTAGGGTTTTATGTTTCATTCTGACGTGCATCCCTCCATCTTTGCGTGATGTTGTTCTTATTATTTTCTCTAGGGCTAATTTGAATATCATCGGTAAAAGTCCATCTCCCTGCCTAAAAACCTAATCGAACTTTAAAGGCTTTAGATACTTCTTCTTATATTAGTACTCTGCATTTAGGATCATTTGTATATGCCTTCGTTAACCTCACTAACTTCCTGGGAACACCCAGTTTCTGTCCACGTAATTATAGGCTGCTTTGAAATCGACAAATAATCGAAATCGACACGTTCTGATCTACATCCCATCGTTTTTCAAGTACTTGTTTTAGGATGAATATCTGGTCTAGTGTACCTCTCATGAATCCTGATTGGTGGTTGCCTGTTATGTTTTCTTAATACGGATATATCCGATTTAGCAGAATATTAGTGATTATCTCATAGGCAGCCGGAAGATGTGCTATGCCTCTGTAATTGCCACATTTGTACATAGAGCTCTTCTTAAGGATAGGACAGATCAGCCCTGTGTTCCAAGCTCCTGGTATCCGTTTGTCCTCCCATATTGTCTGGATTAGGTCTAACAGCTTGGCTCTGATGTGTTCTCCCCCCATCTTTGAACAATTCTGATGGTAGTTTGTCTATCCCTGGATTCTTTCTTCTTTTAAGCCTGCCGATAGATATTTCCACATCCAGAACATTTGGTTTTTCAACCTCATATAGGTCGATGTTCTCAGTGTGGTCCATGTCTTCTTCGTTTGTGGAATGCCCTTGATTGAGGAGCTGATGGAAGTGTTCCTTAGTGTCTTTTCTTTTGATGCTATCTTTCCCTCGCTTCTGTGTATTTCTCACTTTATATTCTATTCTTTCTTTCCTGATATCTCTGAAAAATTTCCATATATTTCCAGCCTGCCAGTTTTCAAGTCCAATTGTTTGTTCTTTGAGAAATTCTCTTTTTCCTGTTATTATTATTTTGTTTGTCTTTTTCCTGGTGGCTGTGTATTTGTCCAGCATAGCTTGATTAGTTTTTGCTAAGCAGAGGACTTTTCTCTTTCCTTCATCGCCTTTTCGCATGCTTCTGTGAATCATTTCTTTGCTTTTATTTTTTCCTGAATCCATATTACTTCCTTAACTGTTTGTTTTAGACCTGACTCTTGTGCCTTCCAAAGTTGGTCAACTGTGCGGCTTTCCAAGTTTTAGGGTTGGAATTTATTTATCAGCTCTAGTTGGAATTCAGTCTGTACTATAGGGTTTGTACCTCTTTTTTTTTCACTTGGTTCCCAATTTGGTGGATTCGCTTCAGCCTCTGACAGATTTTGATTCTAATCAGAGTATGGTCCAAATTACAGTCTCCTCCACGATAGCTCCTTATGTCTTGTGTGGAGCTTTGATTTGAAGCCTCTGGTCTATCAGCACATGGTCGATTTGGCTTTTTGCACCGTTAGGGCTTACCCAGGTTTACTTATGTATGTCCCTGTGCGGGAACATCAAACTGCTCACTACTAGACCCTTAGCTGCTGCCAGACTGATACATCTCACTCCATTGGGGCGGGGGTGGCCGTATGGGCTAAAGTGTGTGCACAGCACCGCGAGTTGCCTGGCAACCGAATAACAGATTTGAGAATATTAAAAAAGCACGAGTTTGTGTCCCAGTTTCAGAGGGGATTTTAAATTCCCCACCCTCACCATCCGGCCCGAGAAAATTCCGTATAGCCTAAAATGCGAGGTAGGGAAGAACAGAAAAAAAAAAGAAAAAAAAA